AAATACGTAAATTATTTAATAAGGAAAGTGGTTTGATTGAACGTGTAATTAGTCGAACGGTTTTTCAAATATCACTTTTCTAAATGAATGAATTTTCAATTCACACAATTAACATATGATGAATTTTCCGTTTCGTATTTTGACTTTTCCCCCCCTCCCCATTAATGAAATTTAATTTAACCTTTTTTTACGTGAGTTTCGATAATTTTTTTTTTTTTTTTTTGGTTGTTAAATTAAAAAGAGGTAGGAAAAAAAGATAATATGGCGGCGGATCGATTCGGTTTAAGCTGGGGGGCAAAAAAAAAAAATGAACCCGATTTTTGCGTGAGTAATGGAAACCTGAGGAAATCAGGGAAATTTTTGATAATAAAATTTTTTTTTATCTTTCATATCATTTTCAACAACCGGTAGCAACTCTTATTTAGATGCTTGTTGCCCCTCAATATTTTGACATGTCTGCTTACACGATTTTCGATACATTTATCCTGCAAAAGTCCTTTTTCCTAGGAAAAATTTCCGGAAATGAATCGTTTTAACGGTTTTTTGTGTTTGCTAACCAGTTTTTTACTATCAGTACGGTTCGAAACCTCAACTTCCGGTTTTTCGCTGAACATCTGATCGGGTTTAAGTTCTCCTCGCTTCTCATCATGCCCTCGACAGCCTCTACTAAAATAATACTTTTCCTATTTTTTGTCCGAAAATAATCAGTCAAATCACGAAGGAAAAAGGTATGCTACCATATTTTTTTTTTTCCCCCACGTAAACTTTACGTTATCTTCCCGATTATTTCATTCCAAGGTTCGCATCACGTTTTACTTCAGTTCTACAATCTTTAGAAAACATGTTTGTACGTGTTTGTACGTGTACACAAAATCTCAAAACGTAATAAATCATTTCGAAAAATTAATAAGTGTGCACCCCTTTTTTTTGGTCCACCCGTTTAGTTTTATTATTATTATTATTATTATTTCCACTATCTTCGCTTTTAATAAATATCAAGTTGCGAATTCATAACAAACGTTAACCCGATTTCTTAGAATGTTTAATTATTCGATAATTCTAATGCCACTACTAACATGTTTTAAACAACGTAAAATGGTCTTTTCATTTTTACAAAATGGCTTCCGGTAGTTTTTTATGACGGCCGGAATTGTATTTTCCACGTCAACGTGACACCGCCTCGTGTTGTTTCGTTCCGTCGGTGTCGGATATTTCATCACAATCATTTTTCGGATGCATCGGTATGATTTCCGGTTTGTCAGCCATGACAGTTTCATCGTCTATGAATTTGATTTTATCGAAACCGAATTTTATCGGCTGATTCTTCTTTTACATTCACGACAATTTTTCCAAGAAAAATATTTATAAACAAATTAAAAATTTTTTTTTTTTTATATAGACATCATGAAGATAAAAAAAAAAAAACTCCATGATGATAATAATAATGATAAAAAACATAAGAAGAGTAAATAATTTTTGAAATCGGATAAAACCGTTGTTAATTGTAACGGAATTCCCATTATTTACCTGACGTGGCGAGAGAATTCATTACGCCACGAACGTTATATATATATAAATCTGTTGAGTCATTAATTTTGAGTTTTTGGTATTTTCATAGGGAGTAAAACATATCAAAGGTGTCACGCACTCAAGACCGGTTGTCAACCCATAGAGTGATCTATGGTCTAATTGTTAAAATTTCTCCTCCTGGTTTTTACATAGACCACAAATACTCCTAATTATTTTAACGTGATAATTTTTTTTTCTTTTAGAGGGAGGAGCGGGAAGGGGGTAGGAAATTCGGAAACGGGAAAGGTTAGGGAAAATGAAGGGTGGGGAGGGGGTGGGAGGCGGTGAGTTTTATTTTAATCAAAAAAAAAAAAAAAAATTAATTCAATTGTTTGATTGCGTTTAAAGGTTTTTTTTTTCTTTTTTTGAAAAGAAAAATATAAAAAGGAAAAAAAATGAAACCGTGAAAGCTTTTTATTTGTCTTTTTAAGTGGTTTAAAAAAAAAAAAGTGCTAACTAAACTTAAATATCGAAGAAGAAGAAAAAGAAGAAAAAATATATATATATATAATATAAAAAAAATTCAATAGTATAAATTCAAAAGTAAATTTTCAACAATTTTTAAATACTTTTAAATAATTTTTTTTTTTTTTTACGTAATTTTTCTTTTCTTGTTTTTTTTATAAAAAAAAAAAAAAAGAAAAATTATGGATGCATAATAAATTTTCATTTTCTCTCTCTCTTTCTTCGGTTGGTTTTATAAACAAAATAAAATTATTGCAACCTAAAAAAAAAAAAAAAAAAAAACCTTTTTGGGGGAGAGAATTAAAAAAGGAAAAAAAAAATTTTTTTTTACACAAAATTTAGTTTTCTCATAATAACTTATAATAAAAAAAAGAGGGAAAGAAAAAAGAAAAAATGTCTTTTTTGACTTTATTTATATATATATATACGTAAGTTTATATTATTTTAGATGCCATTTAATATTTGCCAACATATGAAAACAAAAAAATGAAATGAAAAAAAAAAAAAAAAAATTTTTAAAAGTGAATTTTTACGTGACCGCTGAAACCGCTCTCTTACGTGTCTCGTGGGAAATATACAACCAAACGAGTCCACTTGTTATTTAACGCATCATTTCTACCAACACAACAAAAAAAAAAAAAAATTTTTTTTTTTGTTGTTTCGAAAGAGTGTCTCATTTCATTCATCCATATAAAGTCAATATAACTTTTTCTTTTCTAACAACAACAAACAACACGCGCGTTTGTATATATATTTATTTTAAAAAAAAGTTTCAAATAATAAAAATGAAATGTCGGATGAGTTAAAGATGAGAATTTGAAATTTTTTTTTTTTTGAATGGTTTCTTCCTGCCACGTTGCACGTGAACCGAAAATTCAAAAGAGTTTTTCTTTTTTCTTTTCGTTTTTATTTTGTTCTTTTTTTTTGTTAAGTCACAAAAGGAAAAAGGAAAAAAATTAGATTTAAATTGAACTGACAACGAATAGTTTTGACAAATTTGAATAAAAGAGTTAAAAAAGAAACTTTGGGAATTCCACCTTCCATAACTTTACCACCACCTTTTCCACATACACATACACACTCTCTCTATCTCTCTCTCACTCTCATTCACCATCAAGAAGAAGAAGAAGGAAAGAAGAAAAAAAAAGTTTTCGACTTTTGTTACGAAACTCTAATGAAAAAACACTCTGACAATGTATTACTAAATTTGTTTGCATCTGAGTGTGTGTTTATATTTATAAAAGAAATTTTTTTTATAAGTAAATGTAAATTCTTATATCACGTTCAACTACGACAACAACGACTACTGCCACGACTTTTCCTTAAAAACAACAAAATCTTTTAAATAATTGTATAAAACTAAAAACTCGATTTTTTTTTAATATTAAGAATGATTTTAATAATCTCGTTTAATTATTATTATTATTATTATTATTATTATTATTATTATTATCCACCATTAAACACGACAAGGCTACTTGTCGGAGTTTTTTAAGTATTTATCCGAGGTTTCTACCCGATTCCTTAGGGACAAATACTCGAATTTCGTGGTGCCACTTATTATAAGATAGCACCACATCAATTCTTGAGGTCTTCCTGAGTCCG